CATTTTTATCGTGAACCATGCCTTTAAGGTTCGCTTGATAAGAGGAAATTTTTTTGTAAAACGCTCAAAAATCGTCACTACTTCCCTTTGCAACCACATTGTTACGTATTGAGGCGCGTGGGCGTACATTGCCATATGGGTGGCGCCCTCACAACGCGATTCGTGCGTCGAGCAACTCGTCCAAACCATCTAACCTCACAATTAACGGCAAGCTAGAGCCCAGAAAAGTAGGGTTAGCCGCTTTGCGAGCCCTGTAATGACGCTGTCTGAGCAGGATTAGTAAACTAGCCCACCACACTTGCCTTTGAAAAGAAATGAATCAGCGGTCAATGGCTTAATTCTCTGGTGTTAATTTTTTGGTTCCTCAATTTTTTTTCATGTTCAATTCTTCTCCCATCCCAGTTTTTTACACGACGTAATCATCGAGCCCACACCAGTCTTCTCCCATTCTGGTAGGTGAAAATACTTTAGTTCGCTATCTAAAACCGTCCCTAAGCACAAGTAGGATCGACTATCCCTTCTTTTCTGCGCTCCAGTGCCCACTGTTGAGGAAGAGGTATGGCTTTTAGAGAGTTTCGAGGAAAATAGTGAAACTGACTGCATGTTTTTCTCTCAGAAGTAGATAAGCTTCTTAATGATTACTAGAAAAGTTGTGTTCCTCTGCTAGCAATGAGTTTAGTGAAGCAGTTTTGCAGAACGGAATAGAAACTCTATGTGCTATCACATGCTGAGGTCGCTTACGAGTTCCCATTGACCATATCGATGACGTTCCACCTTAAATATTCTTCGAAGAGTAGCAGTCGATCTTATATCACATGGATCCTCCAAATGTCTCATTGAGTTGGAAGCTTAGGAACACGTTTACTGATGTCTGTCAATTCGATTCGTTCACCTCCCGTACGATGACGAATCGGAATGAAACATATATCACATATGCGCCCAACTGCTGGGATCTGGGAAGGACCCCTATAAGCGGGCGTCTTTCCGAGTTATTATGCTGCATTAGAGTTTCAACGACCTTGTGCTTTTGGAAGATGGCGACCAGGCTTTTAACCATTCATCAACCGATCCATTTGGCGAAGGTGGACAGAAATGATCTCTTGCTACAGCACCCTCCATCAGTTTAAGAGGAATCATTGCATAACAGAAACGACAATGGTAACAATTGGAAAGCTTTTAAAAAATGGGTTCACATAAAGTAGATGACAAAAATTCGGAAGGTATTCTATTTCTTAGTTTAGAGCAAATTATGAAAGCCGAGTAAATGGGAGCTAAGGAGGACCAGTTGGAGCTCCTGCAATATTCAGTTCGACAAAAAATTTTCAGAAGTTAACATTTTGAAAAAGTGAAGGAAAACTTCTGAAAAATGTAGAACATTTTTCTGACAAAATAAAATTTTAAAGCTGTAGCTATTGAACAAATTGTTACCTCCATAGTAGTACTGATCGACGGTCTTGATCCAACCAAGATCGTCGTGAGTATGGGGAACTAGATGCACGTTGATAACACCCGCTTCATTGCTCCAGCGATTGCACACCTTCAAAAAATAAACAGCCAGTATCTATGACGAGAATGACATCTTGTTTTGGTTAGTTCGTAACAGCTCTAATAACACTGGTCACAGTTTACGAATGGAAAACCGCCGGGAATGAAGGTTAGGACGTGGATGTGCCGAATATGGCGAGCAACGGAAGTGTCATTGGTCAGACTTTAAATCCATCAGTACTTTCACTGGCTGTAGGTCCTGTTTTGACGCTACCACCTCTCTCAGCCCCGTCCCTTTCCATGGCAATGTTCTATGTCTATTTTGCAACTTAGGATGCTCATTCACTGTCAATACGTGGGTTACTCATCGCTCTCAACGATCGGCCTTGGCCATTGTCCAGCTTTTTAGAGCTATACCCATTGATGATGATTTGAGCCTTATTACGCTGCTTTTTGCTAGCAGCAAAAAGGCAGAGAGAAAATAAATAGAAAAGTGTACCAACTTTCTGCCCTCGTTGGTTTTTGGGAGAGTCGGAAAAAATTCTGGGATCACAGGATAAGAATCTTCGCTTACATGGAGTCAACAGTTCTTCAATTATGTGAAAGGTTCCGTAGTCGCGTGAGTGACCAAGCGCACATTTCGGTGGTTGATGGAGTGGGAACTGACTTTACGACACTTGAGTTTCGGTGAAAATGTAGTTGATGGGAGCACTCCTATTCTCCATCACAGGCAGTAGAGCGCAGAGAAAAAGTAGTAGTCGACTTTACCGACCTTTATGAATGGTTCTTAGCAAGAGGAATAAGGTTTCCGTTTAAGCCTCAAGAGAGGAGGAGCATCGGGGTAAGAGGGATGATAACCTCAGGCAAGACGCTGGGATGTAGTAATGATTGGCTTCAATTGTCTCAACCACTCACAGTGCTCCTTTCCTCCTAGGTCGTCGCTTGAAATACTGTATTTTCTCTGCTATGGAACATTTTTAAGCACCATTATGGGCTTACAAAGTAGGCTACCCTTCTTTCTCTGCGTTTTAGCGCCCGTTAGAGAAGAGCAGCCTCATTACCCCGGTCCCCCTCCCCCTCAGTATCCACGCCAATTATTTATCATTTCAGAGTGCAAAGATCTGGAATATTTCACATCGTCTTTTCTGGTTCCTAAGTTTCAAGGTGCTATCTTCGCCAAAGTTATCGTGGAGGGATTAGCTGAATTTTTGTAAATCAGACTCACCTCCCACGAGCACGTTTGACGTGCCTGGACGTTGAGAATGCTGTGACTTGTGAGGAAGACTAGCAAATAATACCAAATCATGAACGAGATCCTGCAAATCGAAGCGTTCAATGCTTTCCAAACATTAACCCAACACTTCAGTATACGAGAAATGCAACATGGGCATTTGGTATGCATTGATTTGAAGCTGTTGTTCGACCAAGGTATATTCCACTCTGATTCAGATAATTTGGCGAACCACTACTGTAGAGGGTGTACTGCATCGCCTGACAGAAATGCAGTAAACCTTCTACAATAATGATTCGTCAAATTATTAGAATATCCTGAATAATGTTACAGCTAAAGTAAGATTCCCAGTGAGCATCTCATATCAATCTACATAAACCACTGAAAAGCAACGTCGAACCTCTTCACAAAACTATTTGCATTATTTGCAGTCAAAAATGAGATTGTCGGCTGATGTCAAATATCTTGGGATAACTCAGATTTTTCTGGAAATCTCTCCAATTAACATGGGGAGAAGGTCTTACGCTTTTGTCAACTGCTACCTTTGCCGCAGTATGCTTTCCTACAGAACAGCTCAGATATCTTTTATATGTGAATTCTTCACAGTGCTATCGATTTGAGAGACTGAGTCACGTTAGAGTTGTTCCAGTTACACTACGAACAGGGACGCTAAGCAATTACAAGAATAAAAATGAATTGCGCAGAGAAGAAAGAGTGCAGTAGGTATGAATGTAAAAGCGATTACATAATGAGTAAAGAATGAATGAATGGGGTAAAACCAATGCCGACTAGCAGCCATCGACGCCATCGACCGATGGATGGAGCGATCGAAGCGGGTCTCGAGGTCAAAAGCAACCGACAACACATGATTTATCAAATGCCACTGAACAGCCGGGCAACACTCGAACCTCGATCTTCTATTTTTCTCGGTGTGGGAACGGAAACGCTGTCTAGTAGCTAACCATATTCAAATTACTTGATTAGTAGTTGATAATTTATGGTTGACTCAAGACGTCATTGAATCTGGAGCTCGTATTAATGCTGGTGTCAAATAGATCGAAGAATCGATGAGAAGGGCGGTTCACCCACTTCAGCTCGATCTGCTATCCTCATGCGTCATCCTACGGATCAATCATACATAGAGTTACAAATTATCGCAAACTAGGGTAGATTGCGTTACAGTGCTTTTGAAATCTCTCTGAATGTGGGTTAGTTCTGCCTCAAGGGGGAAATTGTTCCACTCAAAAGACAGGGCGCACAAAAGATTGAACGTGCTAGAAACAAGCTCTTTCCCAATCGAAGAAATCTATTAGGTTGAGCATAATTATTGCGGATTCTTTCAACAAATTTTATTTAATGACACGATAAAAACACTGAACAACAACATGCTTAAATAATTACTTTGGAACTTATCCACTATCTCCGTCAAGCGCTGCTTTCCTTCGGCTAGATAGTCGGATTTTAAAAGAGAAGAAGTTTTGATCCTTGGGGGGGGGGGGGGGGGGTTCCACGCTTTGACATCGGCCATCGAGTCAACCAAATCGACGAAAGTTCTGTTTCCCACCCAATTTTTCAGCGAACGGTTGACGAGATAATCCATAGAAGTTTCTGCTGGTGAACATGGCAGATTTAGGGGCAGATTCCATTTCTTGGTTGGCTTTGGCTGATTGTTCCATCGCCGAAAAGTTACAGAGATCGCGGAATGACTCTGCCACCTTCCAACCATTCTCGAAGTAGTAGAACCCTAATTTTGCGGATATGCGGATGGTTTTCCAAGTGAATTTTTGTAGAGGAAATCAAGCAGATCATGTCTGAAAAAGACCGCAATTCAATATTCAAATTCCATAGAGAGAAAAAAAGCTGTGAAAAAAATCCGCTGTAATCATGCATCAACCTGATAATAAGCTGTTTTTCTATTATATGTAGAAAGGGAGCTTCTGGCAATAAATCATACTTGTATTAGCTTTCACCAATACCTAGTAAAATCTACCGTATATCCGGTGGGCTAACTCTATTAACCGGACAGGTATAGTAGTCTTAATTGTTCAAGTTATGTGACGAGTAAGTTGGATCCAAGAATATGGCAGAGTGTGAAGGCATCTGCTCTCATAACCTCAAAAATCGTTTCCATTCTTTCAGGCTCTCGGAAAACCGATTTAAAACCCTACCACTTCACATCGAGTGTAATATTCAGATACCTTAGAAACCACTATCTATGCGGGCATTGTTGAGGTTTAGAAGGTGTCAGATGCTGTCACCTCAAGAGGGAGTTCGAGAATGATCTGTTTCTCGTTTTTATTGAGAGACCTTTGAGTCTGAACACCATGAAACATTATGTAGTTGACTATGAAGAGATAGTTTAAAGCTTGTAGGGCGAAGGTGCTATCAGGTGCTAAGTGGGCACTAGCACGACCGGGGACCGAATCCGAATTTGAACCTGCCCGAGACAGTCAACACTTTCATCCTTTCAGAGTCGTTCAGCTGCACCACACGACACTTGCCCCAGCTCGAACAAACCGATGATTGAGGGGACGACATATCATAAAGGTAACTTCCCAAAACAGAATTACAGAACCGTCTAGTCGTAGAAACGCATTTGCTACTCACAGAATTGGGAAAGTCAAATAGCTGCGCCTCAGCTGAACGGCTAACTGTGTTTTATATGACCGCCCATGACTGAGCTTTCCTCCTTCAGGGTTTCAGTCCATTAGTATTTTGAGAACTTCCATCTTTAATGGAAGCTTATTCCGGTGAAATGCAGTGTCTGTTTGTGTTTGCTAAGCAGAAAAGGGCAATATCGAATTGTTATATGGAGCACTGGGAGTGATCGAAGTTATTTAAAAAAAGAATATAATTGCAGAAGACGAACTCTATATGTACTTGTAATGTGAACAGTACATACTAGCTCAGTACTGACCTTTAAAAAAAAGCTTTAAACAGCCCAGAACCGGAACATATGGGAAAACAAAATATTCTCCCAAATCAAACTGCTTTATTGGTTTAATTGAATGTCAGACTACTCGAGAAGAAATTATGGGAAAAGTATATGTCCGGCTCATTCTTTTAGGAATCTAAGGTTCAACCGAAGAGGGAATTTCGCGAAGGCTATCTATACAGTCGTTTTTCGCATGTACCGGTGAAACATGTCTTCCAGGTAGGCGGTTGCAAGTGAGATTATAATGTGTATGATCGACTCTCCATTGATCCGGACATGATTATAGTCCATCATGTGCGTGTTCAAGACCACCTAAGAGATTGGTAATCACCTTCACCTCCGACTGACGTTTCGGAAGACGGCTTCCTTCGAAGTCTCGGCAAAGCGGCCCAAGCGCTCACGAACAACTCCATCAATGCAAGGGCTCCAAAGAAGGCATTTTGCAGAAGGGCTAGCCGTTGACTGGTTTGATTTGTTATCAATCTCGAAGACTCGATTGAGAACATATAGGATAGACTAAGGTGACGCGAGTTAACATTTTGTTTGGAAGAAACAATAATATATGGGGATTATAGTAGTGTTTTCTAATACAACTCTGAGATGAATTAGCTAGCTGTGTTTCATGCTGCATCGCAATTCTGATTGTAAGTCCTGCACATAGTTCATCAGGAATGGGAATAGTGGAATTGATGAACATCATAAATACGCTTTTTTTGTATTTATGTGTTTATGCCACGAATCATGGCAGAGGCGGTATAGTGGCAAGTGGCGCACTATCTCACACGCACGGCCAGGGGTTCTAATTCCAGGTCGCCCCGCCTATGCCAACCAAGCCTTTCATCCCTCTAGGGTCGGTTAATTGGTACCAGACTCGTCCGGCAGGATAAAAGCTCTGACTTGTTTATCGGCAAGCCACCGCAAGTCATGGTATAGGCCACATATGCACTCATTATGCCGCTACGATTCCGAATGAAAGTAGAGTGCGGGGCGCATCCCTCAGACGGGATTGATTAACGCCAAAAATTTTATCCTAAACTTTTATATCACGAATCTCCTTCCATGAGACCTCTCTCTCTGAAAGGTCCCCAGTAAGATCCTACGTAGGGCGACCACAAGTGGCGGATAGGGGAGTAAAGTGCCTACCAAAAGTCGTTGGTATTTGCCTAGAAGCGTAGGTGAATTCATGATGACTCCCTGTTTCTGCTGTGCTGATCCTTACACCTTCTGTGTTCGAAATTGTACCACACATACGTAAGTAGAGAATCTGAGGATGCAGTTGGTATGGTATTCGATGCAAGCTAGGAAGATCAAGTACGACGTCACCGGGCTGACCGAGACGTGAGGGCATCACCCGCTGCAATAATCGAAACTGTAACAAAGCTGTTCATTGGAAAATGAGATAGCAGAGGCGCGGCTTAGATGTACTCGTTAATATGCACTTGGCCATGAGCATAGGTTCATATGAAAGTTTGATAAGTTGATTAGGACGTTCATTAGGAAACTAGCCCAGTTTCAGCAATCTTTGTTGCCTACGCACCAACATCAAAAGCGTTATGAATGGACCGAGAAATCGAAGAGCTATTTATATCGGAAACGGAATGTAATGATCAAGATGAAAGGCTGTCGAGTCGGTCGTGTCGATTTATAGCATCCATGGAGATTCGCGCGGTTCTAGAAGCCCTTCCATGTGCGATAGACTTAGGAGTCACTTGGTAGACAGACCCATAATGGAAATGATCACATCATCTTCAATCGAAAGTTTAAGCTGACGGACGTCGCTGGTGTTCCGAACTTCGACACAAGATCGGACCATCTTCCCCTTCGCGCTAAACTCTGTCTTTGAGTGCGTAGATAGATGGCTGAGACCTTCAAGAATAAAAGCCCCGAGACTTTTATCAACCGGAACCATCGCTTCCCTTGCGAGTCTCTAGGAAGATTCTGTTACTGAAAACATTAGTGAAGAATTCAACCGGCTTGTCGAACATCTTCACGATAGTGCTAGAAAAGCAGAGAGTCTACAAATAACCAAAGGACGTCTCTTCGCGGACTCTTGGGTTGACATGCTCGCGTGAAATGGCGCGAAATACAGGCAGTTACCAACAAACGCGCGAATTTGCGAAGCGAAAACCGATAAATGAAA